AGGGCCGGGCCGGGCGGGGCAGGCCCCGGGCCGTCCTTCACGCCTTTTTTCTCTTTTTACTCTGCCTGTAGCCGAAGAGGCGATCGGCGCGGCTGTCCGCGGTGAGTACGGGAGCCAGAGGGGGGTGTCTGTGCCTGCCTGTGTGTGTCTGCCTGTACCGAAACGGGGGTTGTTGAGGGCTGAATCTCTTCCTTACGTGTTCTCTCTTCTCAGAAACCTGCTCCTGCCAAAGCAGAGCCGAAGCCAAAAAAGTTAGCGGCAAAGGTGAGAGCCACTGGGCAGATGGGAGGGAGAGGGAGGCAGTCGACTTCGTTGTGCAGGTGCTTGGTGGTGTCCCGTTTCGTGTCGTCGATGCACGGTGTCTGAATGTTTTTATTCGTCTTTGCGTGTTCCTTGTGGGAACGCTCATTTAGCAGATTTTTCAGCATCGCTTTCAGATGCTTCTGCCAGTATCTACAGGTACATACATTCCACCACAGTTTGAGTAGATGTTGTTAAGCACTCAAAGTATTGCCTAGAAATGTGGGCACTGATTCGTGGGCTTTAGATGGTGGTTTGCTTCTGAGCAGAACTACTTGAATGTCGAAGCAACTGTACATAGGATTGTATTTCATCACTGTAACAAAAGGGAATTAAAATATACTCACAGTTTAAAGCAGTGTGTTAGGGCAGGAAAGTAATACTTGAACTACTTAGGCAGCCGCTGAAAAAGATCTGAGTTTTCATTCGTGTAGTCTAGCTTTCAGAACTTTGTGTGTATGTGTCAGTAAGCATGATTTAGTATGATTTTTTTCAGTTTTTCAGCATAGCCTTCACAATGCCAGGAACTGAGCTGTATGTAATTCTTTGTTTCTTGGAGGAATAAGAGGTTGTCTTTTCTGTTGCCTTGTTGGTATATGTGGTTTTAAGTGTTCCTTTGTGATTACAAGCTTCTCAATGTGTGGATGAAGAGCATTTCAAATACACTCTGCTTTGCAGACTTGGTGTTTTCGTTTTATTAATCCTACTGAGCAGTTTCTTGTCAGTAACGCATCTTCCTTCCAATGGTTTGAATATCAGTGCCCTCCCATGTTTGAAGTTGTAAGCCTAAAGAATTTAGGGAAGCTTTCCAATTTTATTTCAGGTCTGATTCTCCTTTTTTTCAGTGTCTTTGTGTCATGCATCTAATTCTTAATGCTGTTAGTTGATGCTGGCTGATATGCGTGGTACTGACTTGTTGCCTGTAACTACTTCTAGAAAGAAATGTTTCCACAGTTCATAGCTGGGAACATACTTATGTAAACCAAGTGCATCACAATTGTCATCTCAGAATGATAAGTAGAACGCCTTGCACAACGCCCCCATGGAATGCAGCTATAATGTGAATATGTGAACAATCTTTTTTTTTTTTTTAATTGCTATTACCATTGACAATTCAAATAAATGTATAACCTGTTTCACATTTGATCATCTTTGTTCTAAAATTGATGCAGTCCCTAAAATCTTTTGTCATTTGGAAACTTTGTTAATATAAAAGTCTCTTGTTCTGATTGTGTTTTACTTCTCCAGCTTCACTACTTTCTCTCATATTAACTATTTGACTTCCTTTAAATGGGTTCCAGAAGTATGTCACTGTTACATACCAGTCATTTAAATTCTTTTTAAATCGTTTTTCTTTATTTGATGCATCAAAATATGCTTCTTTGCATCAACTTTGTAACTTAAAAACTTCCCTGACAATATTTTTTCTGTTTGAGAGAAGTTTGCCCATAATGGAGTTACTTAAATACTAATGAAGGAAAAGATACTCTGACAATCAAAACACAAAAGTTTATTTGTTGTGAAATTTGTAATACTGAGTTTAGCCCTCATACCTTTTTAAAGGATTTTTTTTTCCATTAGCATGTTTCAACCGTTCTCTTGAGGATTTAAAAAATTATATTTTCTAAAAATAGGAGCAAAGTATTTCTAAAGTTTTGTGGACATGGACAGTTTACTTACCTGACATAAGATGCTTCAGTATTGATTTTTATTTTTTTTTTTTCACCTTACATCTCTTGTATATGTAATGTAACTTACTGCATGTTTGTATCCGGTGGCATAAAACAGAACTTTCATTCAGTAGTTGCAGCTGGTTGACAAAACGTATTTTCCTGAAGTTCTTGCATTCATGTAAAATGGATGTCCTGGTTTCAGCCATGCACGCACAAAACCAGCACGCTAAGAAATGTACTCAGATAGCTATTAGAAAGTTGTATGTGTGAAGTAAAGAAGAATGCTTAGAGTGAGGATAGTGTGGAATGCTTCTGACCAAATGGTTTCTAATAGTAATCAGAGATACACATTTCTGTAGTACTTAAAATAGACAAAAATGAGAACTTATATTTCCTGGAGTGAAAGAGACAACACATTAGGACATAATTTGAAGAACATAGCTATGAAATGCACACAGTATTTTAATGAGATTAGACATGTTTTAAGGTAGATCTGTGTAGTGGTCTTCTGCTCAGAGCTACAAGTCATTATGTTCTCTTGCCACTTACATTGTACCTGCCCACAAAAAGTGTTATGGTTTGTCATTTATTGAAAATTTTTGTTAGTGTCATGAAGTAATGTTTCACAGATGGTGTCAAACCTGTGCATTTAAGCAATTCTGAATCGATAGAAATATTTTGTAAGTAGGGGGACCAGCTGGAGTACAGGTGAACTTTGTAGCATTTGGTTGCTGTTAGGAATGTCTGGGAGGATGTATTATATATTTATATGAAAGTAGCTATTGAACAAGTCCCTACCCATTTAACAGCAGTCTTGCCAGGTACAGAGGATGTGACTGAGATACTAAGTACTTACTTAAGTTACTGAAATTCCCACCTGTCAATATAAGAGGAAAAAGAGTGTTCAAAGTGCCTTGTATTTACAAAGTGGAAGGGCTGCATTGCTATTTTTTTTCTGCTCGGTCGAGTCACTAGAATCTGGTTATCTTTTCATCCCAATTTCATTCTCTAATTTCCTATCTGAAACTGTGGGGTTTTGTCTATATATAGTTTGGAAAACTTCTGGCAGTTGAACTGTGTATTAGCTTATTGGTTGTTGGTAATACCTCTTGCTGTTTAGCGAGTCTTTACTTTGTGTGGTTTATATTACTTTCAAAGCTAACCTAGTAGGTCATTGGAATTTACTTACTGGAAATTTATTTCATTGTAGGATAAATCTGAGGACAAGAAAGCTCAATCAAAGGGGAAAAAGGGGCCTAAAGGAAAACAGACAGAAGAGACAAACCAAGAACAGACAAAGGACAACTTGCCTGCAGAAAATGGGGAAGCTAAAAGCGAGGAGGTAAAGCTGTCTGTAGTTGGTGCGAAGCAGTCAGATAACTTACTAGATGGTTTATTGAGACATCTATCAAAAACACACACTGTTCTTATAATAGAATCTATTTCTGCCAAAAGAAAGATGCAGGCTATTGAACCATTAGTAGATATACCTGGAAAAATCTAGTTGACCCAAAAAGAGTTGCAGTGATATGATAACGGTGCCTGAAATTAAGGAAAAGGGTGAGAATTTTACCAAAGTTCCAATACAGGATAATGTCCTTCAGAGAGGGGCTGTTTTACCCACGGGTAGGTCTTAGCAAAAAAAATATATACAGGGTATAGAGAGGGCATATTGTTTGGTGCATGGGGGTGGGGTATATGTCCTCAGAGGGTTTGGTTTGGGTTTTAATCTGCCTTTGTTACTGGAAGAGAGGTTCCAAGGCCACAAAAGTTTTTTGACAAATGCAATATTAATTTTCTTGGGACTGGAAACAGTTTTCACTGAAAATCCAAAGTGGAAATGATTTACCCAGAGTTGAGATAACATTTACAGGAGCCATACAGACACTACTGATAGAAGGGACAGGTTGGTGCAAGGTTGGAAGAGAAAGTGCAAGACCTACTACTAAGGGTTGTTGCTGAAGAAATGAACATGCCAAATCAGTCTTGGCTTTAATACTGTTCTAAAATGGCCATGTTGCTGAAGTTTCTGGAGTCCCTGATCACCTAACTTAAAACATCTTCCACACTCCATTCTTTTTCTGGAATGTGGAGGTAATTTAGTTTAAAATTTAGGACAAGATCTGAGGGGAGAAGCAGTGCTTCTTACTAGGGCAGCTGTTAACAGCTGGATGAAACACAAGTTTTCATGTGGTAACAGGCCTAGATTTAGTCTCAGGATTCTGCAGTATTGAATGCCTCACTTCTTTTAATTAGTTCAGTGAAGTTTGTTTGTTGATCAGATAGTCAGATAATTTTTTAATTTAAATGTGTGATTCAAGCTTCCTGTATGGCTGTTGAATTGAAAAGTAATCTTTTTCAGATGGAAAAAAAAGTCTGTTCTATCCCACTGATGTATCTTATCAGTGTGCAGATAGATCAAGTAGAGGGAAGGAGTTTGGGTTTTAGTTGGGTGAGGAAGGTACAGGATGGCATTTGAGTGTACTAGACAACTTCCTTTGGGGTAACAGTTTTTCATTTGCAAGCTTACAGTGTGATCTTGTGAAAAAGTTGTGCTACAAGTAGGAATACTTTAGTTGGCTTAATTTACTGTGTAGTTCTGGCTCTGTACTTCTGTCACATAATTTGGTTTTTTAATCTGTGCATTTAGTATTTCAGCAATACCAACAAAAGTTAAATTTGGCAGTATTTCTCAGTTGGGGACTGTTTAGTACACTTGTGCAGAGATGATGTAAATTTACAAGGAATGGATGATGACTTTGGGGCACACCTTCATACTGGTCTCACGTTGGTCACGCCAGCCAAAATCGCAGGTGTCATATAATACCTAAGTCTAGAAGAGGCAGAGGTACAGTCTGTCCTCTTGGATGTTACTGTTTGCCATCAGGGCAACAATGTCAGCGATGCCATGGTTCATCCATGACCTGGTGAAAGGCCAGCAACAACTTCTGATGGCACTGGCAGAGACTAAGGCCTGCGGAGGGAAATGCCTCCTGTACTTCATCCTTCCAGAGCTTCCCCCAGGTGGCAGCGAAGACTGCACGGGTGTTAGGGTTCCTGTTCCGGTACTGCTGTGATTTAACAATCTGTTCTGCTGCTGGGGCTGCAAAGCTTTGGAATAATTAATTTTTATGTTAATACATACATTACGTTCCTTTTTTAAATCTACATTGCAAATGCAGCATGTTCTCTGACCTAAATGGAGTTGTAATTTTAATCAGTTAAGTTTGTATGAACTTGTTCTGAAGTTGAGGTTCAGCACAGAGAGTTGACTTGAAAACAGCATAGCTCTGCTGCTACAGTTCAGTTTCACTGAATGTATTTTTACGATGTTTAATTTGATGCAGTCCTGTTTTGAAGTCTTAGCTACTTTAAAACATGGGGAGATTTGAGAATATGTTAACAGTGCTGCACTGAAATGTAAGTGCATGAAGCATATCTATAGTGTCTTTTCTAAATACCCCATATGCAGGTTTAAAAGCCCCTTTTCCTGTCATAATGGCAGTGGTTATTGAAATGGGCTTTATTATTTAAAAAAAATAAAAATCCTTTGCAGTGTGTATTGAGTAGTAACAATAGCAACATCCTGAAATTCATACTGATGCATCTGAGGAGATGGAAGCCTTTTCAAGACAGCTTGGTTTTAGTAGGTCATTATTCAGGAGAAATAAGCAGACCATGACACCAATTTATTAAGACTGTAAAGCATGGTATGTAGAAACAAGTCGGGGTTGTTCTGTCTGTCAAGTCAGCTGGCTTGTACATCAGAAATACTACAATCTAAAAGGATGAGTCACTTAGAAACTGTCTGCATTGAAATGTTCTGGTTTTCTGTCTTTTCAGACCCCAGCATCTGATCCAGTAGTAGAGAAAGAAGCTAAGTCTGAGTAACATCTGGTACCAAGTCTTTAATTGGTGGTCCTTACACCTTTCTTCTTGTACAATTCAGAGGAATATTTTTATCAACTATTTTGTAAATGCAAGTTTTTTAGTAGTTCTAGAAAACACATTTTTAAAAAGGAGAGAATCCCAACTCAACCCATTTTTTTACATATTTAGATAAGTGTAAATGCTTTTTTTAAGTGGTAAAATCATGTACTGGTTGTCTGTTTTCTATGAAACCAGAAATTAATGGCATGTTACATTGAGGAGAGAGCTTTGAAGCCTTCATCAGGCTTCACGTTCCATAGACTGTGCGGGACAGTTTTCTATCCTATTAAATGAAGCATAACACGGATCAGACTTTGGAATTCATAATGATATGTTGAGAATGTCTTAACATTTTAGTTATTTATCTATGGTTGTACCATCAGTAGAATTGCTTATCTAATAAAACTGCTCCCTAGTGTTGGATTTCTTGCTGAGCGATGTATATCTGTGACAAAGTTATTTTTGGTAGTTGCAGCTTTATTTTTTCCAACAACTTTGTAGCTGTGATGCAAAAGATTGGAAGCTTTTATTATATCTTTAAATACCGACTTAGTAAAAATTTCTCCTTGGCAGACGTAACTTGTGATGTCAGTATTTGAGTTACTGGAACTTGATACCCAGTTCTAAAGGACAGCTTGTTTGCAAAGATCAAAGGAAAAATGTTTGAAATAGTCTTAGGAAAAAAAAAAAGTTTTAGATTTAAAAAACTATGTGAATAAAAACAATTGTAAAATTGTTCATAGTGTCTGTGATCACCAACCAAAAGCCAAATAAATCTCGATTATGAAAGGATGTTTCTGTAGCTCCTGCATTGACTATGACAACTCACAATCTAAGTGGTATAGTTTTTGATTCTTAACCATGTTCTTAATATTGTTAAAAATGTACTTTTCAAGAGATACAGGTGGTAATGCAGGGAGTGAGTAGCAAGTAGAAAACTAGTTGCAGTCTTAATCTGGACTTCCAGTTTGAAAGCTGATAGCCTAGTGCTTACAAAAAAGTCAATAATAAGCATCAGATGTTTTAATCTGCTTGGCATCTGAGAGTTTGCATATGCATACTTTTGTAAATAACTGCTACAAGGGAAGATGCACAAAGAAATCCTCTTGACTGTTAACCCGCCAGATGGTGTTGCTCTTGTGTTGGAACCATATTGGAATTTCCCCAAATCCTACCTTAATAAAGTTTCAGATGTTTGGAGAAAAATGAACCTAGGCTGTGCACTTCCCCAGGTAGCTGTTTGTGTAATGGAACCCACGCCACGGAACAGCCCAGGCAGGAGCAGCGAGGGAACCACAAGGGGATTTCCCTTTTGGTGCTGGTGAGCTGTGGATGAGCTTACTGTGCTGTGAGCAAGCGTACCTGCTATATAAGGCTGTAGGCTGACAAGGGTGTCCGAGAGAGCATTCATGTAGTACAGAACTGTCCTGATTCTTCCTTTCTGTATTTGGGAAAATGGAATCAACCTCCTTGAAGATTTAACAGCCTTTCATCAGACGGGGCATATTAAATATGTATTACTTAACATTCAAGTAAAAAAAAGATGTAGTACAACATTACTCAGTTTTCCCACATAGTGCGGAGCTGTTTTGTTCTGGTTTTTTTTTCCTCCATTTCACATTATTTTGCTGAATTGCAGCAGGTGGTAGTATGGTTTTATCTTAACAGTCTATTTGATGCCACTGTCAACCTTGTCTTGGGAGGAGTTAAGATCAAAAAGTTTTTTTTTCTTTTCCCCTTAACTGAGAACTTATTTATGCTTTTGAGTAACACCTGCAAGCACAGTATCTGCTTCCTGTACATTTTTGGTGCCTTTTTCCAAACTATTATGCAGCTATTTCTATAAAAAACACTTTAGTTTTACCTCTAACTTACTTTCTTAATGTTTTCATTTGAGAAAGCATTTTACCATTTTTACCTCTTCAATATTTAAGCAGTGTTTAACTTTTCTTTAGCTGATTTGTAGGATGCCCTCCAGCACTGGACCAGGATATGCTTCTGGTCTGTTTCCACCACAGCAGTGTTCCTAGCAGAGCACACCAGCATTGGCAGTGGCTTTGGCTTTAAGTTCTCGGATAGTCCAAAACTGTAAATCCATGCCAATTTTTCTAACCCCCCTCCGCCCTCTCCCCCAACCTCTCCTCCAGTCACCTTATTTGTTGGTTTAAATTAGTAGTAGCATGACATAGCTATGTGACATTCTTTCTGTTTTTAGAAAGTCAAAACCATCAGTTAAATGACGAATAAACTTGCAGGTAAATACCCTGAAATAACCTCTCTTACCTTCTTCTACTAAATGCGTACTTTTCATGTGTTTTGAATCTCTAATGTTGAGATCCTCTTGACTTTCAACACCTCTAACATCTATTATCTACTGTTTAATTTAGGGTAACTGCTCCCTAATATTTACTCAGCAGCAGCTTCCCTATCATAGGATAGGGAAATTTTCCTCCTGGAAGAAGGAGAGGACAGAGGGAGTTGCATCAGAAGCCCTAGATCTGTTTGATGCAGCAAAGAACGGAATAGGCTTTCCTAATTACATAAAGTATGCCTAGTAAATACAGAGGTGGATCAGCTATGAATTTGGATTGATTCTGCAGGAGAGAGATGCTCTTGCGCTTCTCTACATAGCATGACATGCCAACATGTACCATACAAACACACCAATTTGGCTACAGGGGAAATGAGGAATTGTCTATGTTGGCACTAGATGTCATTTCTGCCTGTGGAGAGTTGGAATGGAAGGCATTTAAATTTGTCTGACAATTTCCATGGACATGCTTCAGGAAGAGCATTCTTTCCTCTGTGATATCACGTACATTTGCTCTGTGCAACTAAGGAATGGAACGACAGCTAATGCAGATTGGCACTGCATACGCAGTGGAGAACCATCTGCTTCAAAATACAACGTGAAGAGAACGAAACGTTTCTTCAAAGTCACTCTGTCATATTCATGTGCTACTACTAGTTGCTCTGGTTGAGTGCCGTTTCATACGTGATCATGGTGCACCATTCTGGAATTCATTTTCTAGTGTCAACTAGATCACAGCTCTTTAAAACACGAGCACGGCCAGGATGCTGAAGTGCATCCAAGTTCAGCTGATGAATGCCGATTTATTCGGCAATGAGATCTAGAGGAATGCAGGTGGCCTTTAAGAATGATGCTGCAGAAGCTTGCAACTATACAGCAAAGCAGAAAACTGTGGATCTTTTTTTTTTAAAAAAGAGATTTTTAATGGACAGAATACCTGTCTTTTCTCTTGTACCTGAACTGTGCTGCAGGAGCACTAACCAGGCAGGAGATGATGAAGAGCAGGAAGCAGAAGTCTGCCTTCCAGGACACGTCTGGGAAAGGGCCTGCTGCCGGGCCTGCACCCCGTGTCTACAAAACAGTGCTTTGTCAAAAGCTGAAAGCACAAAGTAGTGAGATTAATAAAATCAACGCATATTTCTACAATATGTAAAAATATTTTACTTCAGAGGTTCTAAAAATGCATACCAAGCCACCACAGGTGAGAATGGAAAAAGGAAGGAACAGCTCAGATTTAGAATAGAGCACGAGTATCGCCATTGCTCTATTTGCATTGGAATTCATGCAGGGCAGGGGTGAGAAACGACTATAAGGAAAGGGGAAAAAATTCCTCCATAAAGAGCCTCCCAGTGCCCGAGGCGGGGCGGAGGTGGCGCTGGCACCCGTTGGCAGAGGGGCAGGGCCGGGCACCGGGGCTGAGCTACTGTTTTTGGGAAGGCGATGCCGGTGAAGTGACGCCTGCCTGGGGAGGGGAGAGGTTTAGGACAGCCGAGGCGCCCCCATGCATCCCGCTCACGGGCCTCGATGGCTCAGGAGGCGGCCTCTCCGCCCGAGGTGTGAGGACATCTGCCTCAAGTGGCAAACTGGGGCCAAAAGGCGGCCGACCGATCCCGTGTGAAAACACTCTGGTGACGCGGCCGTTGCAAACGCACTTGAGCTGCCGCTGCAGGAGCCGCACGCGGCGTCCG